ATAGGGTGGGTTTATAATGGACAGGTAGGGTGGGTTTATAATGGACAGATTAGGGTGGGTTTATAATGGACAGGTAGGGTGGGTTTATAATGGACAGGTAGGGTGGGTTTATAATGGACAGGTAGGGTGGGTTTATAATGGACAGGTAGGGTGGGTTTATAATGAACATGTAGAGTGGGTTTATAATGGACAGGTAGAGGTGGGTTTATAATGGATAGGTAGGGTGGGTTTATAACGGACAGGTAGGGTGGTGTATAATGGACAGGTAGGGTGGGTTTATAATGGACAGGTAGAGTGGGTTATAATGGACAGGTAGGGTGGGTTTATAATGGACAGTTAGGGTGGGTTTATAATGGACAGGTATGGTGGGTTTATAATGGACAGGTAGGGTGGGTTTATAATGGACAGGTAGGGTGGGTTTATAATGGACAGGTAGGGTGGGTTTATAATGGACAGGTAGATTGGTTTGTAATGGACAGGTAGGGTGGGTTTATAATGGACAGGGAGAGTGGGTTTATAATGGACAGGTAGGGTGGGTTTATAATGAACATTTAGGGTGGGTTTATAATGGACAGGTAGATTGGTTTGTAATGGACAGGTAGGGTGGTTTTATAATGGACAGGTAGGGTGGGGTTATAATGGACAGGTAGGGTGGGTTTGTCATGGACAGGTAGAGTGGGTTTATAATGGACAGGTTTGATGGGTTTATAATGGACAGGTAGAGTGGGTTTATAATGGACAGGTAGAGTGGGTTTATAATAGACAGGTAGGGTGGGTTTATAATGGACAGGTAGGGTGGGTTTATAATGGACAGGTAGGGTGGGTTTATAATGGACAGGTAGGGTGGGTTTATAATGGACAGGTAGGGTGGGTTTATAATGGAGAGGTAGGGTGGGTTTTTAATGGACAGGTAGGGTGGGTTTATAATGGACAGGTAGGGTGGGTTTATAATGGACAGGTAGGGTGGGTTTATAATGGACAGGTAGGGGGGTTTATAATGGACAGGTATGCTGGGTTTATAATGGACAGGTAGAGTGGGTTTAGGATGTACAGGTATGGTGGGTTTATAATGGACAGGTAGAGTGGGTTTATAATTGACAGGTAGCGTGGGTTTATAATGGACGGGTATGGTGGGTTTATAATGGACAGATAGGGTGGGTTTTTAATGGACAGGTAGGGTGGGTTTATAATGGACAGATAGGGTGGGTTTATAATGGACAGGTAGGGTGGGTTTATAATGGACAGGTAGGGTGGGTTTATAATGGACAGGTAGGGTGGGTTTATAATGGACAGGTAGGGTGGGTTTATAATGGACAGGTAGGGTGGGTTTATAATGAACAGGTAGAGTGGGTTTATAATGGGCAGGTAGGGTGGGTTTATAATTTATAGGTAGGGGGGGTTTATAACGGACAAGTATGGTGGGTGTATAATGGACAGGTAGGGTGGGTTTATAATGGACAGGTAGAGTGGGTTTATAATGGACAGGTATGGTGGGTTTATAATGGACAGGTATGGTGGGTTTATAATGGACATGTATGGTGGGTTTATAATGGACAGGTAGGGTGGGTTTATAATGGACAGGTAGGGTGGGTTTATAATGGACAGGTAGGGTGGGTTTATAATGGACAGGTAGATTGGTTTGTAATGGACAGGTAGGGTGGTTTTATAATGGACATTTAGGGTTGGTTTATAATGGACAGGTAGGGTGGGTTTATAATGGACAGGTTAGGGTGGGTTTATAATGGACAGGTTGATGGGTTTATAATGGACAGGTATAGTGGGTTTATAATGGACAGGTAGAGTGGGTTTATAATAGACAGGTAGGGTGGGTTTATAATGGACAGGTAGGGTGGGTTTATAATGGACAGGTAGGGTGGGTTTATAATGGACAGGTAGGGTGGGTTTATAATGGACAGGTAGGGTGGGTTTATAATGGACAGGTAGGGTGGTTTTATAATGGACAGGTAGGGTGGGTTTATAATGGACAGGTAGGGTGGGTTTATAATGGACAGGTAGGGTGGGTTTATAATGGACAGGTAGGGGGGTTTATAATGGACAGGTATGCTGGGTTTATAATGGACAGGTAGAGTGGGTTTAGGATGTACAGGTATGGTGGGTTTATAATGGACAGGTAGAGTGGGTTTATAATTGACAGGTAGCGTGGGTTTATAATGGACGGGTATGGTGGGTTTATAATGGACAGATAGGGTGGGTTTATAATGGACAGGTAGGGTGGGTTTATAATGGACAGATAGGGTGGGTTTATAATGGACATTTAGGGTGGGTTTATAATGGACAGGTAGGGTGGGTTTATAATGGACAGGTAGGGTGGGTTTATAATGGGCAGGTAGGGTGGGTTTATAATGGACCAGTAGGGTGGGTTTATAATGGGCAGGTAGAGTGGGTTTATAATGGACAGGTAGGGTGGGTTTATAATGGACAGGTAGGGTGGGTTTATAATGGACAGGTAGAGTGGGTTTATAATGGACAGGTAGGGTGGGTTTGTAATGGACAGGTAGGGGGGGGGGTTTATAATGGACAGGTAGGGTGGGTTTATAATGGACAGGTATGGTGGGTTTATAATGGACAGGTAGGGTGTGTTTATAATGTACAGGTAGGGTGGGTTTATAATGGGCAGGTAGGGTGGGTTTGTAATGGACCAGTAGGGTGGGTTTATAATGGGCAGGTAGAGTGGGTTTATAATGGACAGGTAGGGTGGGTTTATAATGACCAGGTAGGGTGGGTTTATAATGGACATTTAGCGTGGGTTTATAATGGGCAGGTAGGGTGGGTTTATAATGGACAGGTAGGGTGGGTTTATAATGGACAGGTAGGGTGGGTTTATAATGGACAGGTAGTGTGGGTTTATAATGGACAGGTAGGGTGGGTTTATAATGGACAGGTAGGGTGGGTTTATAATGGACAGGTAGGGTGGGTTTATAATGGACAGGTAGGGTGGGTTTATAATGGACAGGTAGTGTGGGTTTATAATGGACAGGTAGGGTGGGTTTATAATGGACAGGTAGAGTGGGTTTATAATGGACAGGTAGAGTGGGTTTATAATGGACAGGTAGGGGGGGTTTATGATGGACAGGTAGAGTGGGTTTATAAGGGACAGGTAGAGTGGGTTTGTAATGGACAGGTAGAGTGGGTTTATAATGGACAGGTAGAGTGGATTTATAATGGACAGGTAGAGTTGGTTTATAATGGACAGGTAGGGTGGGTTTATAATGGACAGGTAGGGTGGGTTTATAATAGACAGGTAGGGTGGGTTTATAATCGACAGGTAGGGTGGGTTTATAATTGACAGGTAGGGTGGGTTTATAATAGACAGGTAGGGTGGGTTTATGATGGGCAGGTAGAGTGGGTTTATAATTGACAGGTAGGGTGGGTTTATAATGGGCAGGTAGGGTGGGTTTATAATGGACAGGTAGGGTGGGTTTATAATGGACAGGTAGAGTGGGTTTATAATGGACAGGTAGGGTGGGTTTATAATGGACAGGTAGGGTGGGTTTATAATCGACAGGTAGGGTGGGTTTATAATGGACAGGTAGAGTGGGTTTATAATGGACAGGTAGGGTGGGTTTATAATGGACAGGTAGGGTGGGTTTATAATGGACAGGTATGGTGGATTTATAATGGACAGGTATGGTGGATTTATAATGGACAGGTAGGGTGGGTTTATAATGGACAGGTAGGGTAAATTTATAATGGACAGGTAGGGTGGGTTTATAATGGACAGGTAGGGTGGGTTTATAATGGACAGGTAGGGTGGGTTTATAATGGACAGGTAGGGTGGGTTTATAACGGACAGGTAGGGTGGGTTTATAATGGACAGGTAGGGTGGGTTTATAATGGACAGGTAGGGTGGGTTTATAATGGACAGGTAGGGTGGGTTTATAATGGACAGGTAGGGTGGGTTTATAATGGACAGGTAGGGTGGGTTTATAATGGACAGGTAGGGTGGGTTTATAATGGACAGGTAGGGTGGGTTTATAATCGACAGGTAGGGTGGGTTTATAATGGACAGGTAGTGTGGGTTTATAATGGACAGGTAGGGTGGGTTTATAATGGACAGGTAGGGTGGGTTTATAACGGACAGGTAGGGTGGGTTTATAATGGACAGGTAGGGTGGGTTTATAATGGACCACCCACCCACCAACTCACTCTACCACCCACCCACCAATTCACTCTATCACCCACCCACCAACTCACTCTACCACCCACCCACCAACTCACTCTACCACCCACCAACTCACTCCAAGCACCCACCTCACTACCCCCCCACCCTCATTTCCCCCCACCACCACCATGCCTACCCCCTAACCACGCCCCCTCACTACCCCCGCCCCGCCCCTCGCTATCCCCCCTCACTTCCCCCCCTCACTTCCCCCACCACCACCACCACGCCTACCCCCTAACCACGCCCCCTCACTACCCCCCCCCCCACACTTCCCCCACCACCACCACCACCACGCCTACCCCCTAACCACGCCCTCTCACTACCCCCCCCACACTTCCCCCACCACCACCACGCCTACCCCATAACCACGCCCCCCTCACCACCCCCGCCCCTCCCCACTCCCGCCCCTCCCCTCGCTATCCCCCCTCACTTCCCCCCCTTACTTCCCCTACCACGCCTACCCACTAACCACGCCCTCTCACAACCCCCCCCCTCACTACCCCCCACCACCACCACCACGCCTACCCCTCTAACCACGCCCCCTCACCACCCCGCCCGTCACTACCCCCACCACCACCAACACGCCTACCCCCTAACCACGCCCTCTCACTACCCCCCCCTCACTTCCACCACCACCACGCCTACCCCCTAACCACGCCCCCTCACCACCCCCCCCCCTCACTACCCCCCACCACCACCACGCCTACCCCTCTAACCACGCCCCCCTCACTACCCCCGCTCCTCCCCTCTCGCTTCCTTCCCCACCCACTCACCCCACCGCCCTACCGCCCTACCGCCCTGGCGAGAGAGGGGGGGGGTGTGGGAGGGAGGTTAAAGGTTAACCGGAAGGGGCGTGACCGAGCGCGCGGCGCGCGACGTGGAGACTCGGAAGCGGCTGAAGAAGGTGCAGCTGCTGTAGCTGCCGGAACCGCCGAAGAAGCTGAAGAAGGTGGAGCTGCTGAAGAAGGTGGAGCTGCTGAAGAAGCTGAAGAAGGTGGAGCTGCCGAAGAAGGTGGAGCTGCTGAAGAAGCTGAAGAAGGTGAAGAAGGTGGAGAAGCTGAAGAAGGTGGAGCTGCTGAAGAAGGTGGAGAAGGTGAAGAAGGTGCAGCTGCTGAAGAAGGTGGAGCTGCTGAAGAAGGTGGAGAAGCTGAAGAAGGTGGAGAAGCTGAAGAAGGTGGAGAAGGTGCAGCTGCTGTAGCTGTCTGAAGAAGGTGAAGGAGCTGACGAAGGTGCAGCTGCTGAAGAAGGTGAAGAAGCTGACGAAGGTGCAGCTGCTGCTACTGCTGCTCGAGCCGAAGCTGCTGCGAGCTTCTCTGACGGGAAGGAGGAGGAGGAGGTAGCAGCAGCAGCAGCAGCAGCCGGACGAGGGAGACCACGACGAGGTAGGAGGCTGGAGCAGAGACTCAAGAGGAGGTGTAGGATGGAGGAGGTAGGAGGAGAGAGACACTGAGAGAGAGAGAGAGACTGAGAGAGAGACAGAGAGAGACACAGAGAGAGAGAGAGAGACACAGAGAGAGACACAGAGAGAGACACAGAGAGAGAGAGACAGAGAGAGAGACAGAGAGAGAGAGAGACACAGAGAGAGACACAGAGAGAGAGAGAGAGACAGAGAGAGACAGAGAGACAGAGAGACACAGAGAGAGACAGAGAGAGACAGAGAGAGAGAGACACAGAGAGAGACAGAGAGAGAGAGACAGAGAGAGAGAGACAGAGACACAGAGAGAGACAGAGAGAGAGAGACAGAGAGAGAGACACAGAGAGAGACACTGAGAGAGAGACACACACACAGAGACACTGAGAGAGAGAGACACACACAGAGAGAGACAGAGAAAGACATACAGAGAGAGAGAGACACAGAGAGACACTGAGATGAAAAGACACACAGAGAGAGACACAGAGAGAGAGAAACACAGAGAGAGACACAGAGAGACACACAGAGAGACACAGAGAGACACAGAGAGAGACACACACTGAGAGAGACACAGAGAGAGAGACACACACTAAGAGAGACACACACTGAGAGAGAGACACTGAGAGACACAGAGAGAGAGAGACACTGAGAGACAGAGAGAGAGAGACACAGAGAGAGAGAGACACACAGAGAGACACAGAGAGACACACACAGAGACACACACAGAGACACACACGGAGACACACACAGAGAGAGACACACAGACACACTGAGACACACACACAGAGACACACACAGAGAGACACACACACTGAGACACACACACTGAGACACACACACTGAGACACACAAGGAGACACGGACAGAGACACACACAGAGACACACACGGAGAGAGACGCACAGAGACACACACACAGAGACACACAGAGAGAGACACAGAGAGAGACACACAGAGACACACACAGAGAGAGACACACAGAGACACACACACAGAGAGACACACAGAGACACACACACACAGAGACACACACACAGAGACACACACACACACAGAGACACACACACAGAGACACACACACAGAGACACACACACATAGACACACACACACAGAGACACACATAGACACACACACAGAGACACACGCACACAGAAACACACGCACATAGACACACACACACACAGACACACACACAGAGACATAATTAGACAGAGACAGACACAGAGACAGACACAGAGACAGACACAGAGACAGACACAGAGACAGAGACAGACACAGAGACAGACACAGAGACAGACACAGAGACAGACACAGAGACAGACACAAAGACAGACACAGACAGACACACAGAGAGACACACAGAGACGCTCACAGAGACAAAGACAAAGACACACACAGAGACACACACACACTGAGACACACACTGAGACACACACACACTGAGACACACACACATAGACACACACAGAGAGAGAGACACACACACAGAGAGAGACACACACTGAGACACACAGAGAGAGACACACTGAGACACACACACACAGAGACACACACACTGAGACACACAGAGACACACAGAGACACACACTGAGACACACAGAGCCACACAGACACACACAGAGACACACTGAGACACACACAGACACACACACACACACTGAGACACACACTGAGACACACACACACAGAGAGACACACACTGAGACACACACAGACACACAGACACACACACATAGACACACAGACACACACACATAGACACACAGACACACACACATAGACACACAGACACACACACACTGAGACACACACAGACACACACACACTGAGACACACTGAGACACAGAGAGACACAGAGAGACATACACTGAGACACACACAGACACACACACTGAGACACTGAGACACAGACACACACAGAGACACACACAGAGCCACACACAGACACACACACACAGACACACAGACACACACACAGACACACACACAGACACACACAGAGACACACACAGAGCCACACACAGGCACACACACAGACACACTCACACACACAGACACACACACAGACAGACACACACAGAGACACACACAGGCACACACACAGACACACTCACACACACAGACACACACAGACACACACACAGACAGACACACACAGAGACACACACAGAGACACACACACAGACACACACACACAGACACACACAGACAGACACACACACAGACACACACACAGACACACAGACACACACAGAGACACACACACAGACACACACACACAGACACACACACAGACACACACACACAGACACACACACAGACACACAGACACACACAGAGCCGGTAACTGCAGGCCTCGGTTATCAGAACCCCCGACCCCCCCCCCCCTCTTGCTCTGTGTGGCCGCGGGGATGGGAGAGGGGGAAGGGGCAGCGCCGCCAGGCGAGCGCGGGCTCAGCCGGGTTGAAGCCCGCGCTAGGCCGCGCCAAACGCGGAACCGCGCGGATGGGACCCCCTGCGGAAGTGTGGACGGGGGTCAGGGGGTTACTCGGGGGTCAGGGGTTACTCGGGGGTCAGGGGTTACTCAGGGGCGGGGGTCAGGGGTTACTCGGGGGTTCAAGTACTCGTGGGCCCTACGTGTGTGAACCTTTGACCCTTAGTCCCTTGAACCCCGCTGGAACTCCTTCCTAAGACCTTTAACCTCCCTCCCCCACCTTCCGCAGAGGCCGTGACCCCCTGGTGACCCCTCGTGACCCCTCGTGACCCCCCGCAGGCCATGTCGGAGGGAGATAGCAGTGGCGAGGCGCTGAGGGGCGGCCCGTCGCACCTCGTTCGCTTCTTCACTCGCCTCGGCCAGGTGAGGCCGTCAGCGCGGCACCGGTGGTGGTGGTGGTGGTGACGTACTACCACTACCACCACCACCATCACCACCACCATCACCACCACCATCACCACAACCTCCGTGGTGGTGGTGGTAGTGGTGACGTACCACCACCATCACCACCACTACCACCATCACCACCATCACCACAACCTCGGTGGTGGTAGTGGTGACGTATCACCACCACTACCACCATCACCACCACTACCACTACCACCATCACCCCGGTAATGATGGTGGTGATGTACTACTACCACCACCACCACCCCGGTGGTGATGGTGGTGACGTACTACTGCCACCACCACCCCGGTGGTCATGGTGGTGATGTACTACCACCACCATCACCACCCCGGTGGTGATGGTGGTGACGTACTACTACCACCACCACCCCGGTGGTGATGGTGGTGGTGTACTACTACCACCATCACCCCGGTGGTCATGGTGGTGATGTACTACCACCACCACCCCGGTGGTCATGGTGGTGGTGTACTACCACCACCATCACCACCATCTCGGTGGTGATGGTACAGCACCACCACCGCACACGTAGAATAAAAAGCAAGGGACAAGTCCTTACTAACAACTCCTTACTAACAACTCCTTACTAACACGTCCTTACTTACCAACAACTCCTTACTGGCAACTCCTTACTTACTAGCAATTCTTTGCTTACTAACAACTCCTTACTAACAACTCCTTACTAACAACTCCTCTATCATTTTTCATTGCTGGAGGGATTGCCCCCCTTCCTGAAAATCCTGGCTCCGCCATTGTCTGTGTGCGTGTGTCTGTATGTCTGTATGTATGTGTCTGTGTGTGTGTGTATGTATATATCTGTGCTTATGACCGGCTCCGGTTTAACAGCAGAGGTCTCACTCCGAATGAGTCGAGCGGCAATATCTTTTCATCGGTTGTGTAACGCTGTGTGGTGGAAGCTACCTGGTCTGTCGCTCCGCACTAAGCTTCGGGTCTTCTCGGCCACGGTCATTCTCTCCCTTCTCTACGCTTGCGAAACGTGGACCCCCCTAATGGAACATCTTCGCCGGTTAGAAACATTTAGGCTGGCCTGCCTACGATCCATCCTGGGTTTAACCAGCAGGCTGGATTGTGTGAGGAGCTCACAAATTCTTGAAAGATCTGGGCAGGGTCCCATCGGTGAGCTCCTCCGGCAGGCAAGGCTGCGTTGGCTGGGTCACGTAGCCCGCATGCCCAGCCACCGCATGCTGAAACAGCTTTTGTTCAGCCGAATCGAGGGGGCTAAGCGGGCGCGGCACGGGCTAGAGAAGAGATGGAGTGATGTGGTACAGGAGGACGTGGAGCCGAGTGGACTTGCCAATGACCGGTACCAGCGGTGTCAAGATCGGGCTCTGTGGAGGAGGCTCGTGAAGGATGCTACTGGGCAGTTGGAGGTAGTCGCCCTCCAACAACAACGGAGGGCGGAGGAGCGACGCTCACAACAACGAGCGGAGCGCCGGGTGGCTAAAGCACAGCAGGTTGGCACAGTAGGGGGCACAGGTGGTGCATCAGCCAGTCATCTCAGTCAGTCGACCCGTGGCACCTGGGTCTGCCCCGTGACCTCCTGCCAGCGGGCGTTTGACACTTCACGTGGCCTCAGGGTGCACATTGCCAGGCACAAGCGTCGTGGTGACGTCACCGCCACTTAGTGGCGAATGGCGGTTTTTATTGTTGTGTGTGTACACTGTGTGTATGTGTGTATATATGTGTGTATGTATATATATGTGTGTGTCTCTGTGTGTGTGTATATCTGTGTGTCTGTGTGTGTCTATGTGTAGTGGTTAGCGCTACGCTGCGCTATGAACCTGGCGACCCGGGTTCGATTCCCGCTCACGGCCAACACCAGTGACGATTATCTGAACCGGTCCCGGGCCCTCCCCTAGGTCGACTCAGCCTCAAATGAGTAGCTGGTGCGGTGTGTAGTAAACATTGCCACGAGGGAGACAAAGGCGGTCGGGCGTGGTGCTGGCCACCCACCCCCTCGTGTACCGTTCCGGCCTTCATAGGTGCTGCTCGCTAACAGCACTTGCCCCTAGAGTCTGTTAAGGCTATATGGGGGATCTTTGTCTTTGTGTGTCTGTGTGTGTGCAGCTGTACCAGTCGGTGTTGGATCGCTCCACTCCCCACATCCCTGCCCGCTGGGTCACCACGGCCATCCTAGCGCTGCTTTACCTGCTCCGAGTCTACGTCAAGCAGGTGGGTGGTGGGGGACCCTCCTAGTCACTCACCACTCACTCACCACTCACTCACTCACCACTCACTCACTACTCATACACTCATACACTCACTCACACACTCACTCACTCATACACTCACTCATACACTCACTCACTCATACACTCACCACTCACTGACTACTCATACACTCACCACTCACTCACCACTCACTCACCACTCACTCACCACTCACTCATACACTCACTCATACACTCACTCACTCACTCACCACTCACTCACCACTCACTCACCACTCACTCATACACTCACCACTCACTCACTCACCACTCACTCACTACTCATACACTCACTCATACACTCACTCACCACTCACTCACCACTCACTCACCACTCACTCATACACTCACTCACTCACTCATACACTCATACACTCACTCACTCACCACTCGCTCATACACTCACTCACTCATACACTCACTCACTCATACACTCACTCATACACTCACTCACTCATACACTCACTCACTCATACACTCACTCACTCACTCACCACTCACTCACTCATACACTCACTCATACACTCACTCATACACTCACTCACCACTCACTCACTCACCACTCATACACTTACTCATACACTCACTCATACACTCACTCACTCATACACTCACTCACTCACTCATACACTCACTCACTCATACACTCACTCACTCATACACTCACTCACTCGTACACTCACTCACTCATACACTCACTTACTCACACACTCACTCACTCATACACTCACTCATACACTCACTCATACACTCACTCATTCACTCACTCACCACTCACCACTCACTCACCACTCACTACCAGTCTCTCCTGAGAGTCTCTGAGTGTTATTATAATACTTTAGTGAGTAGACTGAGTGTTATTATAATACTTTAGTGAGTAGTCTGAGTGTTATTATAATACTTTAGTGAGTAGACTGAGTGTTATTATAATACTATAGTGAGTAGTCCGAGTGTTATTATAATACTTTAGTGAGTAGTCTGAGTGTTATTATAATACTCTAGTGAGTAGACTGAGTGTTATTATAATACTTTAGTGAGTAGACTGAGTGTTATTATAATACTTTAGTGAGTAGTCTGAGTGTTATTATAATACTTTAGTGAGTAGTCTGAGTGTTATTATAATACTTTAGTGAGTAGACTGAGTGTTATTATAATACTTTAGTGAGTAGTCTGAGTGTTATTATAATTCTTTAGTGACTAGTCTGAGTGTTATTATAATACTATAGTGAGTAGTCTGAGTGTTATTATAATACTTTAGTGAGTTGTCTGAGTGTTATTATAATACTTTAGTGAGTAGACTGAGTGTCATTATAATACTTTAGTGAGTAGACTGAGTGTTATTATAATACTTTAGCGAGTAGTCTGAGTGTTATTATAATACTTTAGTGAGTAGTCTTAGTGTTATTATAATACTATAGTGAGTAGACTGAGTGTTATTATAATACTTTAGCGAGTAGACTGAGTGTTATTTTAATAGTTTAGTTAGTAGTCTGAGTGTTATTATAATACTCTGGTGAGTAGACTGAGTGTTATTATAATACTTTAGTGAGTAGTCTGAGTGTTATTATAATACTTTAGTGAGTAGTCCGAGTGTTATTATAATACTTTAGTGAGTAGTCTGAGTGTTATTAAGATACTTTAGTGAGTAGACTGAGTGTTATTATAATACTCTAGTGAGTAGACTGAGTGTTATTATAATACTTTAGTGAGTAGTCTGAGTGTTATTATAATACTTTAGTGAGTAGTCTGAGTGTTATTATAATTCTTTAGCGACT